AGATAACTTTTTCTTTGATACATCTCACTAAAAAAAAATTATTTTTATAAGAATGGGCTGATACTAAATTTTTTTATTTTATTTTATTTATATAGTATTTGATATTTTCTATCTTGAACAATATAGGATATATATATATATATATATATATATGCCAAAAATAAATATAAAATATGTTACATGTTAGAATAAAGACAATTTCTATTCTCACTGAGTGAATGCTAATAAAAGACAAATAGGTCAACTATACATATTTAATATACAATTGATAAAGAAAAATTTTGAAAAAATAAAGAAAATATTAATTCATGCAATCTAGTTACATAAAGTTCAGTTCTTTCAGAAAATACTCTCTATTGCAGAAAGAAAGACCTGAGAACATGTACATACTAGAAAGAAAGATGTGCATTTTAGGAAAAACATTTGTCTAAATTATACATCCTTTCATTCTAGGTCAATAATGAATAGTTTAAAATCAATATTAGATTTATATAACCATTTGTTTCAGATATATATAGTCTATATATTTATGTTAAGAGGTAGAAAATGTGTGTGTGTATGTTTTATATATATATATATATAAGAAAGCAACCAGTCCACAAGGTGAAGAAGCATTACAAGGATGGTCTGAAAGTATCACTGAACATTGCAAACATCAGCACATATAGAGTTCCATGCAAATGATCATAGCACATAGCAGAAGAAGGTTCATTATGGAAAAGTTGCTTTCAAGAGTGATTATAAAAGAAATGTCTGAAAAGGTCTTTTAAATGATTTAAGAATGGAAGAAAAATATCCCAACAGTATTATCATATAAAAACTGAGTTTTTCTTTGAATATACATTCCATTGGGATTAAAAGAGTTAAAAAGACCTTGAAAATAAATCTATACAGCAAATAGCAGAGTGAAAAAGGCTTAAAAAGGATTTTGTAATTGTCTGGTTAACAGTAAAAAAAATTATTAATATTCTTATAGAAATTATAATCATGCAGTGTGTAATTTCTACAAGTACCATGCAACTATTTACAACAGCATATAATTGAAAGTATTGGTTTCTTTAGCCCGAATGAAGAAATATGGAAAGGTGTCTAGGATATATTCAATCAAATATTGATCAAATTTTCTTTATGTCCCTAAAACTCTGAGAAATAAATAATCAGAATAAAATACTTTGAGGAAAATGGAAAGAGAAATAAAATATTTTGAATACAAATTAATTTGATTAATATTTTCCAGTTTTTACACCTTTTTCTTCTCCTTATATAGGTTTTATATAAGTGTCTAATCCCTAAGATGTTCAATTTGCATATGGCAAATACAGAGAAAATTGTATATACAAAATACAGAGAAAATTGTATATACAAAATACAGAGAAAATTGTATATACAAAATACAGAAAATTGTATAAAAAAATACAGTAAAATATACAAAATACAGAGAAAATTGTATATACAAAATACAGAGAAAATTGTATATACAAAATACAGAGAAAATTGTATATACAAAATACAGAGAAAATTGTATATACAAAATACAGAGAAAATTGTATATACAAAATACAGAGAAAATTGTATATACAAAATACAGAGAAAATTGTATATACAAAATACAGAGAAAATTGTATATACAAAATCTGTTTAACACTGATCCTGGCTTCTAACTGAAGAAATACAAACCTACATATTTATTCTGAAAAATGTGCTACTATTTGTTATATCCAGAAAGCCATTTTATCAGTATCTATGTCAATTCAATATTCTACAAATTTACAGCCCATTTGTTCTTGTAGATATCAGCTTCTATTTCTCAACTATTATGCATCAAGTCTTTATTCAATCTGACAGATTTAATACATACCAAAAGGAAATCATCAGATTGGATTTCTCCTCTTTTTGTTAAACTACTCCATTGGAACATTGCATTTGCAGCACTAAAAGAATGCCATAACCATATCAGTTCAAGGTTATACATTGTTTTGAGATATGCAGCATTCCATCTTGTATCACTGAAATCAGAATACAAATCTTTATTGCATTCAACCGGTCTTTGTCCTTTGACATGTGAATGAATTATCCAGTAAACTTAAGGCAGGATTACAAACAAAATTTTATTTCAAGGAATGAAACTGTTCTTTCTTTTTTTTCATCACTCTTCATGTATAACAATCCCTTCCTTGGGGCAAGAAGAATTACATCTGTTCCTTTGATATCCCAATATGACAAGACAGGAAATCACTTTGATCAGAGAATGAATGCTAAATATCAAACAACAGAAACCATTGTGATTAAATACAAGTTTTTTTTTTGTCTTTCATGATATCTATGTAATATGGCTAAATTGCAAAGAAATAGATGCTTTCAAACCATGGCAGGTACAGTGATTTATGGTAAATATCTCAAAAAAAAAAAAAAAAAAAAATGTTTTCTTATAAATATTTTCATAATTTTTGAAAATCCTTCAAAATTCTCTTCATTTATTTCAATATTAATTTATTTGAATTAAAAATCAAAAATTAAAACTCAATGTAACTGTCAGCCTCATAGCAGAGAGGCATAATGAAGAAATTAAGGTGAAATGATTGCTTTCTATTTTCACAGGGAAATGATCCAATTCCAGACAAAATAAGCAGTATATTTAATGAATTCATACCAAAATCAATAAGGTTCCATTTATCATTCTCAATACCAATCATCATTTCTGCATTAAAGCTCATATTATTTGCCATTTTACATCAAACTCCTTCTAGAAATGCTTTCTAGAAATTTACAGCTAATATTTCAGAAACAAACTTTAAACTGTTTCAGTAGAAATACAAGAATTAGCCTAATGTACAAGAAGGGTGCACATTTAAAAGCAGATAAATAAATTTTCATCATATTGTAAAATTAAAATTTTAAGGATTATGATTAAACATTCTGAATATGATTTGATAAAATCAACTTTTTTTTTTATTTTTTTAAGTACAATGAATTTGAAGGAAAGATCATGTACACATTTGATGTAATTAATTCTTGGCACAAGTGAAGTTTACAAATTTAACAACATGCAATAAGAACATTATTTCCGAATTTTATGATAGGAATTAGTGGAGATAATTTATTCACAGGATTTCAGTCTCAAAAATGTGAAATTTTGTAAATAAAAATCAGAATCAAGCTGATCAACTCCAACAGCTGCTTTCATTTCATTATTGTCCACAAGATAAATATAGCTTTCTTTTTAAAAGAATTGTTTGTATATTTTATGAATGAACAATCAACTTCTAAAGCCAAAAGTCTGATTCAATATTTTATAAATTTCAGGAAGAATAAAATCTTCATTATTACAAGAATAGTATTTTCGGCCTTGTGCCACATCTGAGCTACGCTTGGAAAATCACTACAAGAATAGTATTCTTTTCTTGTGTTCATCTTATATGCGCCAAGTCATTTCAGGATGTAGGTGTCTCTGGTTCTCCACAACTTCCTGTCTTTTGGTTTTGTTTTTTTTTTTTATCCTTTACAGTTTCTGTTAGTCCTTGTTCTACCATATATTTATACAATCTTGTTAAATAAGTTACTGTTTTCTCCCTGTATCTCTATGTCCAGCGAGTTTTAAATTCTCTATGCCCTCTGTCCACATTATATGACCCAAAATTTTCAGCTGTCTTTTCAGATTGTAAATTTATAAATGTCCTTGATGTTCCTATTTTCCTCAAGATTTGCTCATTGTTTACAATTTCTGTCCATTCTATTCTTAGTGGACATCAGTAGAACCACTCACACTTCAAGCCTCCTCCTCCTTTTCATCATCATCTGTAAGGAAATTGTCCAGAATTCACTGCCCTATATGAGATTATATCTTTCTTTTTGTTGTTTCTAACAATATTTTCATTATAACAATATGTTTTAGTACTTTGCTTAGTTTCTGGAAAACATCTTTCACTATTTCCAGGAATTTTTTTTCAGATTTTTAAATTTAATTATTTTTTGTATTTTACTACACTACTCAGATAGCTAAATTCATATACTAGCTTGATTCTAACAACCACAATAATGTAACTCAAATCTTAGTTTGTCTCTTTTACTGTTGACCATACATTTCTTCTTTTACTGTTAATAGTCCTTCTTGCTTGTCATTACTATCTAAGAATTATTTCCATCAACAGTGTCACTTGCATATCTTATATGTTAAGATTATGGCAACTGACAATATATACTGGTAGGCTTTCTAGTTCTCTTAAGATCATTCTTGCTACATATATTAAATAAATCCAGTGACAAAATTCAATATCATTTTATTACTCTTTCCATTTTTGTGTATTTATTAAATATATTCTCTATCCATATGTAGGCTCTTTGTTTCCAAGAGAGGCTATATATTATTTGACTATCTTTTCCATGTAAATCATGCTCTTCTAGCATTTGAAGTAGGTCTTTGTGTCACCCTTATTAAATAAATTTTAAATGTTATTGTAAAATATAGGTACAGGTATTTCTGCATTTGTATTGCTCATTATGATAGCATTCTGATCATAAGAACTGCATTTCTTGTTCCATTTCTTTGTTCTTGAACAAAGACAATATATCTATAAATTGAGTTGTTTGGGCATCTGTTATGTTGTAGTTTAGTGGGTGTAACTTTAAGCATCTTTCATTTCCATAATTTTATCCTCAGTTTACACATGACTCCCACAGAAATATTTCTTCTGTGCTTTCCGACATTGGCACAAACTTTTATGATGGATATATTAAATCACTTTTAATTTGAGATGAACTATCTTGCCATGTTTTTACAGAAAGACTTTGTACCATTAATAATGAAAAATACTAAATACAATTTAGACTTATAGCATTCCTTAGTGTGTGTGTGTGCATTGGAGGGGATTAAATATTGAATTTTATTTTTAAAGACACCAGTAACATATTTCTACAAGAGAGAAAGAATTGGATGTAAGTGCAGGTAACATGCTTGTACAATCATGGCACAGGAGGAGAGAGATGCATTTTGCAATACATACTGTGGCAATTGAATTGAGCTGAAATAGAATAGACAATTAAGATTAAAACAAATGAATTGAGAAAAATTTGAAGATAAATGCTCAGACAAAAAATGTTTATGTAAGATGAAAAAGACGAAGGAAAAAAGAAACTAACAAGAAAAACTATATTCCACATCAACCAGGTGGAGTCTTGATAATTTTCTGCAAAACATGTTACTCAATAATTATTGAATAGAAAACAGGCATTTAGATTGTTCCACATGTAAACATTATAACTGAACAACTGTTTTCTTATATTCAAACTCAATGCAGAGTGTTTTTTTTTAAGCCTGCATTCTATTTTTGTGTAGCATTTCATATAAACATAGCAAAAATATCGAGTAGCCATAGATATCAATATTGATTTCAAAAGTGAATAGTTGAAACATCTTATTGTTATTGTTATTATAAATAAAATACATTATTTTAGCTTTTATAACAAGAATGCTTTAATGGCTACTCCAAATAAAGCAAAAACATTCAAATGCTAAATCCCTAAATTTCTAACAAAAGTTTTGATATTTTAAATTCATATCAAGTTTCATTTGACACCCCAAAAGTGAAGATATGGGACAAAATAATGAATAAATAAATCACTTCAGATTTTAAATGCTTTCAATAAACTTATTTGGAATTTGTTTAATTTGATCTTTGACACTTTAGAAATTATTAGGTGTGTACACAATATTCCCAGCACCCTTTTGAAAGCATTTTTTGCTGGAAATTTTCACATATAGAAAAATAAAAGGAAGCTGTTAAAAACGTGTATAAAAAATAATAATTCTGAGATCATATGATGAAACAAGTTCAGCATTCCAGTTCTGATAGAGCAGTAAGGCTGCTAACCACTTCTTATCAGAAAAAAAAAAATTCAGAAAATATTTCTTCTTGTAGACATGAACTCTGCATCTTATAAAAAGGTTTAAGAACAGAGGATATTACATTATAAGGAAACAAAACAAATAGAATTTAAAATCATCTTTAACAATCCTGCTTTCACCAGTAATAATTAAATTTATCTGGGAATTAGAATAAATGTTTTTAATTCTTTAGAACCAATTTGATTTCAGCTATCAAAATTAAGATGAATAAACAGTTTTCATGTCATTATGTTCTTTAAGTTCATCCTGCCAAAGCCACCCATAATATTAACAGTGCTGGAGTCAACTTCAGAATGCTTCATTGGTTCCAAAAAATCCACTTTTGGATTACAAAGAAGCACCTGGCTCTGATCACAAGTCATCACACAACAATGAAAGATCAAGAACCTCTCATGATTTGACAAATTAGTAGTTCATATAATTTACTTTGCTCATTTCCAAACTGGCTGGCCTGTTCTTAGTTGGATGTTTAGTGTTGATGAAAAGTGATAATCAGAAATTTGTTCCTCCCCCCGTCACAAAACCAAATCTTTCCCTCAATGATATCCTCCTGACAGTTTTGTAGTTCTCTAACTGTTGTGGAGTGATTTCACAGTGGAGGCTTGTATTTGTATTAAGTCGGTCCTAAAATAGGTTCAACGTACAAAACGTTAGGAACTTGATATAATAGATATAACCCAGAGTAATCTAGTTGTGGTCACTGATACTTTCGTATTCGACTAACTGTCGTCCGACATCAACTGATTGACCGACAGACTGACTGGTTGACCGACAGACTGACTGGTTACTCTTACTACTCCTACTTATAGGTGGGAGAGTCTATTAACTATAGAATAGGTGTGTTCCACTATAACACTAACAAAATAAGCTATAACAGCCTTTTGCATCCCAGTCAGACTAGCATAGCAGAATCCCTTAGTCCTGATTTAGAAGAGATGCATCAAGATTTTCAAACAGCTTAACCAGTACAAGTGAACATAAAAGTGGAGAGGGGGATCTGTTGGTTCCAATCTGTATTGAGAATGACGGCAAAACACTTTGCCCTCCCCACTTTATAGGCAGAAGCACACAAATGCATGCTGGGATTTCTTTCTAGCCAATAAAACAGGCTGGTTTTCAGTTTCATATGACTCAGTCCCAGTCTGTTTTGTCTTAAAGTCTGAAAGCTATATACACTTATTTGAATTTGCTCTTGTGTATCAACCCCAATTCTTAGTTTGTGAACTTTTTGCCATATTACTGTTAATTTTCCCTATTGTTTCATTTAATATTGTTTCATTGCTTTATATTATTTTATTTTGCCCTTTTCTATTTTTTTCTTGTTTATAGCAAACTTTGTTGAACAGTTTTACCATTTATTTACATTTAACCATGGCCACTCACTCTACAGGATCTGCACTGATGCAAATATTATGCAAGACATAATTAAAAAAAACTACATGGTAAAAGTTGATGCATTTAGACATTGTTAGTCCAGCTCCATCCTTCCTATTCACTAGACCTGCCTCCTTACCACTGGACTTTGTTTTGATTTATATTCTTGTAAAATCATCATATTATTTCATCACCAGTCACTAATCTGTCCCCAAATGATGAGATGCATTAATTAGAGTGTAGATATTCAAACATGCTTTATAGCTGGCTTCTGGCAACTTGTGGGAAACACATTTTCCATATTCCAAGTTGCTGCAGATGACATAACTCTTGAATTTTTTTAATACAGTTCTTGTACAAATCCTTTCACCATTCAACAATATTTCTATAGACTTCAGACAAAAAAACAAATCATCATTAAACTCAACAACAAGATGACCTGTTCAAGATGTATCTCTTCAGATAAAGTTACTTTTTCTAATCCAGTTAAACAATCTTTGGCAATTTCTTTCATCTAAAGAATTCATCCCATAAGCACCAGGAATGCATAGCGTTTCTTCTGCATCATCATTGCCTTTTCTAAATAAAGCATCAAATGCCTTAATTACTCTATAGGCACATCCACTTAATTAAATTAGCAATTGCACTGTGTGATGATTTAGTCATTTAAAATAAGACAAATATGTATTGTCTACAGTAAGAGAAAGCATTATTCAATCCAGTGATACCATACTTTGGACTAAACACAAGGCAAAGAATAAATATATTTCCAATGCAAATGTGAACATTTCCCTTACAAGGAGGTTCTTTCTCACAATGTAGCCTATTTTCTCAAATATTCAATATTTGACTAATTGAGAACCATTCATGCTAAATACATTGATAAAGAAGAAAATTATGAAGAAATATTTATTGTGTAAAATAAATGCTTTCCCCCAACTATGCTATCAATATTAGGAGTGGACTTACAAATGTACTGATATACAGGATGTATACTATTTTTACACTTTAAAAACATTCACATCCATACACATGATAACACTAAAATAAAATATGTACTCGTCTCTTAATATACATATGCACAGTGTGTGTGTGTGTATATATATATATATATATATATATATATACACACACAATTTTCTCTCTCTCTCTTATTTTCATGATGGAAAATTTTCATGTAGAAATCCTGCCCTCCTGAGGAAAGATAACACTAGAGATTCCCTTTCTTGTGGTTTTTGTGGGAGGACAAAGTCAGCTTGGTCAATGGGAAAGTAAATTAAGTCTGACAGGATAAATAAGAAACACTATTTATTTGGAAAGATCATCCCAAAGAACAGAAACCTACTTACATGGGGCTAATGAATGCCTTAGTATTCAACCCAATATCATTTCCTTTTTCTCTTTTAATATGGAGTGTGTGTGCCTCTCTCTTCCTATTGACCAACACAAAAAGATAGATTTTCTGTTCATTGTGTTTGTCATTTTGTCCCAGCAAGATAGTTTTATCCAATATTTAAAACCATTTTTGTCTACAGCACTTTTTTTCAAGTGTAACCCAAGTTAAATATTATAAAGTATTCTTTACCTTGCACAGAATTATATACTCATTAATATTAACTCTTGCATAGTCTAGTCATGCAATGTGCTCTCTTTTCTTATATATATATATATATATCTATGCACATGCAATCTCTTCATCCAAACAATAAAAAGAAATTAATTACCTTAATAAAAAGGCATCTTTAAAAATGCTGAGACCTTTGTACTCAAAGACTTGTTTTTTTAATCTTTTCCTAATACAAACCCAGACAAAAAACATGCACAATATGTATGCTTTGATATTTCTCTAAACCACACTCCCTCCCTCTTTCTGCAAAGGTTTCTGGAGGGAAAACATCATACACATTTCCTGTCTTTTGTATTTATTTTCTTTAGAAAAGAAGATAAAAACTAAAAAACTTGAACAGCTAATCAAAGCAGATTTTCAATTAAACCTCTACAAAGAAAGAACAAAAAGAAAATCAAACTTAAATTCTTTGTCCTTATTACATCATCTGATACTCACAACTTTTTCAAGAAATCAAAATTGAAATGTCAACCTGACCATAATTTGACAAGTGGATAAAAAAAATAAAAATGTTAGGGGATATTAATGACCAACTTTTGATTTCAAATCAAAGATTATCCAAACTTTAAATCAGAATTTTTTTCCCAAACAAGAGAAAATCTTGTTCGTTCTAAAGCCTGAATCTGTGCGAGAAAAAAAAAACAAAAACAAACAACTTCTTGCGACACAAAAAACGAACGCCTACTTGCGACACAAAAAACGAACGCCTACTTGCGACACAACAACAAAGGCCTTCTTGCGAACCAGAAACGAATGCGGCACCAAAACGAACGCCTACTTGCGACACAACACTTTGCGACAGCCAACGAGCAAAACGGCACCCAAGACTGCTGCCGACGGACGACCGACCACAACGGCTTTTGTTGCCCAAGAAAAGACGCCAAACGACTCGCGCATCTTCTTATAGTCCTCGGTAGAGTCCATTATGGTACTCCAAGGTGTGCCCGGCGACAACACACACACGCAGTTCGAGGACGTTTCCATGCATGCTCATTATACTCCTCGCTGATCTCTAGATCACACAAATGGCAATGTGGGGCAGGCCGTTTCTGCCTGGTGCTCTGTCTCAGTGGTATGGTCTCAAGTGCTTCCTCAGTGGTGCTCTCTTCAGACGTCTCACTGAGCTCATCCCGCATAGTCTCTGAGGTGTTCTCTTCCTGTGATTTTATATAAACCATCGGGGCTTCATCATCATCAGAACTAACGTGGTTACTGACGGAATAATCCTTCCCGCACGCTGGTCGCACATCTTTTATGTGGCGCGGTATTTCATCAATAGAGATGGAGTGTGGGCTATTAATTTGTGTCACTGTACCCTTGCTGAACTGTGTCGTACACCTTCCATGTGGATTTTTCATCCAGACAGTCTCTCCTACCGTATAAGGATTGGCAACTGTGTCGTCACGCACCAAAGCTGCGTCGATACCCTTAATGCGGACCCTGTAAGTGTAGGTTGCATTCGCCGGTGCAGTTGAAGCTGTTTTATTGTACTTTGGGGTAACAGTGTGCCAATATACAGCTTCCAAAACTGAACACCGTGTTCTCGCTGCGATGCACTTTATTGTACAATGGGATCTCTCAACTATCCCATTCCCAGATGGTACGTGATGAATAGCTCGTACTTGAGCAACATCTCGCTCTTCAGCCACAGCGCAGATAGGTTCTCTGGGTTCTGTCATTTTGCACATTTCATTTAACCATCACTGCAGTAATCTAGTAAGTTGGTCGGCTCGATTGTTGCATGACTTGACAAGCTCTACATCAATGTCCAGCTCATATTCTAAGGACAACTCTTGGAGTGTGGCTAGCCGACGTCTGATTAGCATCTCAGAGGCTGCCTTGGTGCACACTCTCGTCCGTCCAGACAGAGTGTCAGCTACCCAGCGATGCACACGTGCTGAGTCTGTCCGTAAATGAATGGTTTTGGCCTTCCATTGTAATGCAAGGTTGACACCTCGCAACACAGCATCGAGCTCAGCCAAGTTGATGTGCTTGTCTTTGTGGACCGTTCGGAGCCAGCTTGCATCTTCTGCCATGGCGCCATTGCTCTCCACAACTACACCGCTAAGGAGTTTGCATCTACCCACACGGTTACATTTTGTTCACCGATGCACCAGTCACCTTTCACTGGATTGTCCTGAGCTAGTCTCTTAAAAATGTCGTCGATCATCTGAGCTAGAAAAGGGTCCTGCACTTCATCGTCCCATCCAGTGGTAACAGTGTTTGCCCTCCGCTTCACAAATGCTGTGGCAACACGTAACCAACCGCATACAGGAAAATGACCAGTCAACTTTCCGCACAACGAGAAGACAATTCGGCGGGTAAGTTTATCAGGGACTACCAGAAGTTCACATCCACGACGCCATTGCAGTTTTCCTTGTTCCTCCCAGACATGCAATCCCAGTACGTGGACCACAGAACGCCTTTTTGCGAACCAGAAACGAATGCGACACCAAAACAAATGCCCACTTGCGACACAACACTTTACGACAGCCAACAAGCAAAACAGCACCCAAGACTGCTGCCGACGGATGACCGACCGCAACGGCTTTTGTTGCCCAAGAAAAGACGCCAAACGACTCGCGCATCTTCTTATAGTCCTCGGTCGAGTCCATTATGGTACTCTAAGGTGTGCCCGGTGACAACACACACACGCAGTTCAAGGACATTTCCGCGCATGCTCGTTACAAGTGGATAAAAAAAATAAAAATGTTAGGGGATATTAATGACCAACTTTTGATTTCAAATCAAAGATTATCCAAACTTTAAATCAGAATTTTTTTCCCAAACAAGAGAAAATCTTGTCCGTTCTAAAGCCTGAATCATCATCATTGATGTTTCAAACATAGTACAAAAATATCAAATTATTTCCCCAAATAAAGAATTATGCTGTGTTTATTCTTACAAAATGAACAAATTACTTTTAAGAAATTTGACCTATTTCTTTATACTAAGTACTTGTGGTATTATATACTATAAATTTTTACAAAATTGTTTTGATGAGTTTGATATAAACCAGTCAGATAAGTTAATAATATTCTTTAAGTTTAATACTTGAAAAGTCCAAATTTTCCTAAATTTTACAAATAACTAACAAACTAGAATAATTTAGAGATCAAGATGTTCATCACTGAGTTACAAAATTTGCAAAACTGAAATGACAAAAAAGATCTTAAAGATGAAAAAGTCATGAGATGAAATTGATTTGCCAGATAAGCAATCAAATGTAAAAGACCAAGCTTTATAATTGTTGTGTCATGTAAAGTTCTCACAAGTACACAATGTAATCAAAAACTAACTCACTCCAGAGTGTAGATACCTTTCCACTTATATACAATTTAATTTGAATATAACTACATCTCTCGGAACCTTAAAGCTGCTTTATGCCTTTGATTGATCTGCTACTTCTACTAACCACTCCAGGAGGTATACTGCTTGTCTTATGGTGATTGCCTAGATTCATCTTTATAGGGGATCTGGGTCTTACTGGATTTTCATTTGAACCTTCTTCATGTTTCTCATTATCAATAGGCACACTCAATCTCTTCCCCACTTCACTCTCAAATTCTTGAGTGATCATTCTAATCCCTCTCTTCTGCACCAGGCTCTCTCTTCATTACAATATCTTCTAGCTCTCTTCGCAATCTAAACTGGTCTTCATGAGCTAACATACCCTGTCCATTTTTTGTTAATATTGCTGTATTAAATCCTTTTTGCACTACAAAGTGTGCTTTCTCAGGATTCAAATCCTTATTTCTTTTGTACCATACATTATCACTTGTTGAGAAGGACATAGTTAATGGTGCTCTCATTTAACAATGCTGAGGAGTTTTATGTTCTGCCCACATGGAGGATGGACCTGTAACTTAAGAGCAATCTTGGTAGATAACTTTGTAGGCTGCAATTCCCTGGAGAGAATGCTTTCAATCCAGCTTTTATCATCTGGACCATCCTCTACGCAATTCCATTTGACAGAGTATGATGGGGTGGGGTTGTATGCCTTACATCCAATTCATGGTAACCCTGTACACAAGCTTTCTTCAGCAAACTCTGGTGCATTATCCAACACCAATATATTAGGTACTTCATTCCTCAAAAATATTACTCTTAATACCTGTTTTACAGTACTTGCTTTTCTGTCCAAAATTTTAACCACTTCAGGCGAACATGAATATGAGTCTATTAGTATGAGGAATAGGCCTACATTTTTAATGTATGCATGATGCATGTGTACTCTTATCAATGGATCTGTATTTTTTGGCCATGGATGAATCTTGTTTTGCCTAAATCTCTCTGTCTTTGCACACTTGGGACATTTACTAACATTATCCTCCATGTCTCACATATACCATGGCCACAAGGTTTGTATTTTCAACTTCAGTTGTATGTTCAATATACCACCATGTAGATTATCAGGTTCTGCTTTAATTACATCTTTCTGATTTCTGTGGTAAAATAAAATCCCCACTACATGAGACTCCTCTTTCAATTGTTGCCTTGCTTCCTTAAAAGGCCTTTCTGATATAGAGCAATTATTTCATATATTATTCCGTATTCTATTCAGTATTCTTATTAATATAGGATCCTGCTCAGTTTCAAACTTTAGCTGTCTGAAGGATAACACATCTGTCTCTACCCAGTGCAAAATTCACTGTACTTGATTCTAAAATTCAATCTTGACAATGCATCTACATATGGAATGGCATTTCTTTTACTATACATAATGTCAAAATTGAATGCCATAAGCTTAATAGCCCACCTTAAAATTCTGTACAACATGACTTTAGGCAACTCTTTCCTCAGGTTGAAAATTAACTCAACCAGTTTGTGGTCCAACTTTAGCAGAAATTTCCTACCCAATAACAAATTACACACCCTTTCAGTACTGCAGACAACTGCCAATGCTTTTTTTTTTTCAATGTTAGAATAATTCAATACTTAACTGTATTAATTCCTCTTCTATAAACATCAGTCCTGTACCAAACTTTTTAATTCACAGTACCTCAATGCTTCTTTTAGCCTGTAAACATACTGTCTAATGGTTTCATCCAGATTTTGCTTGATTTCAAGGAACATCATCCTCTCAGCTATGACCAATTTCTTTTTTGGATGTACACTTGCTTGTATGATGTTGGTAATTTTTTCAAATGTCAAATCTTCTAACATCTCTGGATAGACCATTACAGAGATCTTTTTTCTGGCTTCACTACCTGTTGACACTAGAATTAAATCTGTTACTTCCATTTACTCTTTTGCCGTCACTCAATTTCTTAACTCTTTCCAACACTCAACAAGCTCAGGATCCTCCTATTGACAACACCATGTTGTCATGTAAAGTTCTCACAAGTACACAGTGTAGTCAAGAAAAGATAACTCCCTCCCAAGTGTAGGAGCCTTCCCACTTGTATACAATGATATAAAAGCTCTGAAAGAGTATATATGAAGGTGAGAGAATCTTACCTGACTGATGACCTGTTTTTGACGTTCATTTTCCTTTGTAAGTTCCTCAATCTGTGTAAGTAAATCTTGTTCAGTATGTTTGGATTTCTTTTCTGTTTCTTGAAGTTGGTTCTCCAACAACCTAACAGAAAGAGTGAAAAAAAAAAAAAAAAAAAAAAAGGACATTGAAAAATTCTGATTTCTTATAAAAGCAGATTAAATACACAAAACAGATGGTCTGAAGACAAAAGCAAAAATTTTTAAGTGATTTGCAAATATAATAATCATCAGACTAATACACACAAAAAATAGATCAATCTTTAAGATTTCCATTCCTAATCTGTAAGAAAAAAAGAAAAAGAAAAAAATTAACACAAGCCTAAACTGCAAGATTATTTAAAATAAAGAAAATTGCTTTGGTAGCAATACAAATAAATACTTTGATTCATTCTTGGGATGCAATATTGAACATCAAAACAATGGTAAAAAGAAATTCAAACCAGCACAGATTTACACTCTCATATTGATCTATCAGAATTTGTTACTCTTTTCTTTGAGACAAAAAGCTTTAAAAAGAATAAATTTTAATATTTCTATAAAAAAATTTAAATAATCCACATTCCTCCTTTGTATCCTTTTTCAAATCATTTTAGATCAAAAAAGAAATGTTTACTTTGAGTTGATTTCAGATATATTGGGACATATCTACAGAGTGGATCTTTATTGAATTAAAAGTAAATATTCAAAACACGAGTCAGCTACCAAGAATTCTGACTTTGCTAATTTAGCCAAACTACATGACCAGGTTCTCATTTTATGCTTATGTAACACATGTAAGTTTGAACCTTTCTTGAATTTTTTGATCCTAAGTCTCTCATGTGTGTTTACTTTGTTTTCCTTTTCTAGGTTCCACTGGGGAATACAGTACACATGATGCATTATATCAGATGAGCAATACCAAAAGAAAATAAAGTCAAATTTAGTGTTTCCATATATTTTGTTACTACAGACTTGTCTCAGAATAATTGTGACTTGGGTAAGGAATGAAAGAAGCCTCTCAGGAAAGTTATTCTCATTTTAACATCACACTCTTTGAAACAGTGGCATCTGTTTACTTTTTACAAAACCTAATGAATATGGACGGGTTAGAATATGAATATGGTTCTCTTCTTAAGACATTGCAAGTATTACCCTTCTTTAAACTCTGATGTTGATTACAATCCACAGAACTGTACCTGCTTCCACTGGATTGACACAGCAGCAACTAGTATGAAAATTTATCAGATTGTTTAAAAATTACAATATAAATGGCATTACTTTTCCATTCTCAATTTCTTAACACATGGCCTTAATTCATGCTATTTGACTATCAATAGTTTGACCAAAAGAAAAACAAAGTGATACTAAAAGTAGTTGGAGTAACTTTCAGGATAAAAATCTGATAAAAAAAAATTATGAGATCAAAAATAAATTTGAAATTTTTATTTTTTTTCCCCTTAAATTTCATTTCCTTAGAAAATTAATATCAGAAAAGTGTGAACAAAGAATAAATTTCCATTGATTATATCTTTTGTCTTAAACAACTAAACACAAAATAATTGTGTAGAACAGAAATTTGTATTTCCTTGCTGGAAAGAAACCTTTAGATCAATGTCTTGAGTAGTGGAGATAATTTTCACCTGTTACTGCTATTTATAGACACTGTGATGCAAACAGAAGAGAAATCTTAGTAAAATGACAACTGATGTAAAAGGAAGAAAAATAAAAAAAAAAAAACAATTGGCACTTTGAAACATTTTATCTACTTTCTCTTATTTCAATTAGAAAAATAAAATATGAAGCAGAAAGTTTGACATCAATTTCAACAGTTAATGCAGTCTTTTGTAGCCAAACAAATTTAATTTTCATTATACTTAATAAATAAGGAGATCCTATGAGCAATTATCACTCTGGTGACAGTAAAGATTAATTATTTAGTAAAATTATCATGACAGCAACTAGTTAGGATGCCAAAAGCTTAATAAAAAATTTTGAGAAGGACATAAAAAGAATCAAGATCAATGTATAAACATGTCTGTAGCTGGTTTTTGAACATTATGTTTTGGACAGGTTTATTCATCTGTGTCTGAAAAAGACACTTTCAGTAAAAACATATATACACATCTTCACGGGAAGGGGTCAAAAGAAATCAGTTTCATGGGGAAAATAACAAATATCAAAAACTCTCTGAATCTGAATAATGTTACAATAAATACTTATATAGATTAAACATTGAATCAAAATTTATTTATGCAATATATTTTTGCGACTTGCATGTATGTGAAATTGATTATATTAATTAAAGACATTGTAAAAATAAAATAAAAAATTTTAGGCAATACAACTTATATTATTCTTTATCCTATTATAAACTTGTCAAAGCTGGAACAAATTTGACAAACACGTTCAGTAAGAAAAAGTTTTTACTGTTTGCTCCTGATGATTCTAATTGTCACATGAACTGTAGCAGCAAAAGTGTTAAAGGGGGAAATGATTGGAAAAACTCTTCACATGATACAAACTGTTTCATCAAATAGAGAGAGAGACCATTCTATCACTCAGTTCGAAAAATCAGTTCTAAACAAACACAAGAAAAATGGGGTAAGTGTTTGGAGAGATTTTTAACATTTTTTTTAAACCCCCTTATATCCATAACACACAAATAAATAAACGATGTTCAACAGACTATTAGCAGACAGTAAATGCCAATGATAGAAAACAACAATGCTTTGGATGTTGGGAATTGATACATAGAGAGTGATGGTAATATACATAGTGCAGTTAGTAGTTACTGTAGTCAGCAATAGTAGATAGTTGAAAGAGTGGGCCAAGTAGTGATGTTTAGGTAGACATGTTGTAAATAAGCATTGCTGAACAGTAGGGAAAGAAGTGCAAGCGATAGTGGGCTGAAGAGTTATGATCAATAATGTCATTTGAAATAGAACAATGGCCGAATGAGAAAGGAGGTACAAGATCAAGATGATGCCAATACAGAACTTACCAGTAATAATCAATAACACTTTGAGAAAATGAGTGGAAAAGCTACTGAGGTAACAGAATCAACAAAATGAGAAAGGCATTTTTATATAAACTGAAAAAGTAAAAAAAAAAAAATCACCAATACAGAAGGGCTTTTATACAGAATAATCTATTAAGATTTTTTTAAAGAAGTATTTTGGGAACAATAGTAGTATTTGATTGAGAAGACAGTTTAAGTTGATTTTTCTATTTTTGCTCTAGGTACTGACACTTTCAAGAATTATACAAGATTCAAAAAAGTTACTTCACAGTTAAAAAAAATATATTAGTCAGAGTGCCCAGTCTTTATTCAATGTTTCTCATAGATAGCATGGACCTCTATCTAAACAAAAATAAAACTGGCTGTATAAGATGTAATAAGAACTAAAAGACATAACAGCAAACAGTGAATAAAAAAATATTCAGAGTTACTATTTTTTATGACCTACAAAACCCAAATCCTTAAAAACAAAACATAAACCAATACCACTTAAAAAAACAATCACTTTATAGAAAATCCAAGATGAGAGAGAAAAAAAAATTCTTCTTTTAAGTCATTTCTATATAGATTGGGATAAACAGCCATGTTTATGAATCTAGTTTGTCCAGAAACAAAAGATTATGCTTTTTAAGGTATTTCAATAAACAAACTATTAGCAATTAATTTTAAATAAAATCTGTTTACTAGCAGTCTCATGTAATTAAAACGACAAGTGGTCACCTATTGTACAAAACAAATAACTTTTGCATTATGCTGACAGGCCTATTTATAGAGAACTTTTTGGCAGCACTGACTGGAAGAAGAAATCAGGTTGTAAATATGTTTAATAATAGAAATAAGAAAAAGTCTTAATCTATCCAAAAATTACACGATATATTTTATTTGTTTAAGCTTGTTATACGATTCCAAATAAAAATGTGTATAAAAGATTCAATTTTATTTTCCAGTATCTTTTTATTCAAATCATTCCATTTTTTTCACTCTGCTCAGTGAAATTGGTTTTGTGTCCCATAATGTGAAGTACAAACATCACTGCTGCCATTAAGTTTTGGTGTTAATACAGAGATACTGCATAGAAGTAATCAATATTCAATAAAGTTTATATTATAGTATCACAATAAGAATATGAGAATCAACTTCAAAGACCACAAGATGAAAACCAACTTCTCTCTCAAATGAATGTTGGTTTCATCTCTGAAGGACAGATTTGCATCACCCTCATCATTTTCATATAACCCACCCTCCCTTTTCCATGAAAATACCACAAAAATCAATCAATCATTCTAAATGATTACAAATTTTAACTCCTATCAGGTAAAATCCAATGAAAATCAAGGTAGATAGCCAAGTAATGAAAAAAAATTCATTAAATATTTTATGAAAACTTATTTTGCTGTTTTTTCCGGGGGGTGGGGGAGTAAAGCTAAATTAGTCTTTAAAAGATTGTTAAAATTGCAAATTCAGAAAAAAAATAATCCTTATAAATATCAATATTAACTATATTGAGAGAGAGAAAGAGTTAGAAAGAGAGAGAAAGAGTTAGAAAGAGAGAGAAAGAGTTAGAAAGAGAGAGAAAGAGTTAGAAAGAGAGAGAAAGAGTTAGAAAGAGAGAGAAAGAGTTAGAAAGAGAGAGAAAAGAGTTAGAAAGAGAGAGAAAGAGTTAGAAAGAGAGAGAAAGAGTTAGAAAGAGAGAGAAAGAGTTAGAAAGAGAGAGAAAGAGTTAGAAAGAGAGAGAAAGAGTTAGAAAGAGAGAGAAAGAGTTAGAAAGAGAGAGAAAGAGTTAGAAAGAGAGAGAAAGAGTTAGAAAGAGAGAAAGAGTTAGAAAGAGAGAGAAAGAGTTAGAAAGAGAGAGAAAGAGTTAGAAAGAGAGAGAAAGAGTTAGAAAGAGAGAGAAAGAGTTAGAAAGAGAGAGAAAGAGTTAGAAAGAGAGAGAAAGAGTTAGAAAGAGAGAAAGAGTTAGAAAGAGAGAGGGGTACAGGGGAGTCAGAGAGGGGGGTACAGGGGAGTCAGAGAGGGGGGGTACAGGGGAGTCAGAGAGGGGGGTACAGGGGAGTCAGAGAGGGGGAGTCAGAGATTATAGCATG